CAGTGAGGGTGACAGAGCACTGGAACAGGCTGCCCAGAGAGGTTGTGGAGTCTCCTTCTCTGGAGATCTTCCAAACCCGCTTGGACGCAGTCCTGTGCCACGTGCTCTAGGTGTCCCTGCGTGTGCAGGGGGGTTGGACTAGATGATCTCTAGAGGTCCCTTCCAACCCTAAGCATTCTATGATTCTAAGAAATTTCTTCCTCTAAGCATGTTTTGCTTTGGTCTTTCCTAGAAGATTCATGGGTATAACATGCTCGAGGATCACGTGCAACTAGAAGGTACTGAGGTAGTGTGGGAAGCAATAGTTCCTGGAACAGCTATTGCTTCAGCAGTGGAAGAACTGGGAAAACGAGTGAACATGTTGGCAGGGTAGGTCTTGAATTGGCAGAAGCGCATGCAGTCAGTGGTCCTAGCAGTCTGCTGACCTGAGTAGTTTGGTGGTGGAGATAACACTGATGATCATAGAATCATAGAATGCTTAGGGTTGGAAGGGACCTCTAGAGATCATCTAGTCCAACCCCCCTGCACACGCAGGGTCACCTAGAGCACGTGGCACAGGACTGCGTCCAAGCGGGTTTGGAAGATCTCCAGAGAAGGAGACTCCACAACCTCTCTGGGCAGCCTGTTCCAGTGCTCTGTCACCCTCACTGTTAAGAAATTTTTCCTTAAGTTCCTATGGATTTTTTGGTGTTTCAGTTTCTGGCCATTTCCTCTAGTCCTGTCAGTGGCCACCACTGAAAAGAGACCATCCCCGTCCTCTGCGCTCCCTCCCTTGAAGTACTTATAGACACTGATTAGATCCCCTCTCAGCCTTCTCTTCTCCAGGCTGACCACGCCCAGCTCCCGCCGCCTCTCCTCCCTCACCAGAGCTGAGTAGAGGGGCAGGATCACCTCCCTCGACCTGCTGGAGAAGCTCTTCTTAATGCACCCCAGGATCCCATTGGCCTTCTTGGCCACGAGGGCACACTGCTGCCTCATGGTCAGCTTGTCGTCCACCATGACACCCAGGTCCCTCTCTGCAGAGCTGCTCTCCACAAGGTCGGTCCCCAGCCTGTACTGGTGTCTGGGGTTATTCCTCCCCAGGTGCAGAACCTTGCACTTGGCCTTGTTGAATTGCATGAGGTTTTTCACCGCCCAGTTGTCCAGTCTGTCCAGGTCCCTCTGGATGGATCAGGATGCTGAACCTGCAGAATGCCCCACAGCCCTACTGCAGGGAAGAGGTAGAAATCGCACGGTTTGGCGCGGGGCTGAAGCTTTCAAAAATGACGTTACTGGGAGCTGGGTTCATGCCCTGCCTGTGAGCAGTCCCTCTCCCGTCTCCACTCTAGATGTGCTCTGTGCAGACCAGTGAGGCTCACCTGTCTGCTGTTAAAACAATAAGTATTCCTCTGATCCTGGTTGAGGACTGATGTGTGAACAGGGTAATATCCCAAACTTAAAGCCATTTTTTGCCAGTTGTGTGCCTCTGAGAAATACCCACTGTAACACTTTTCCTGGAAAGAGGATCAAGTTGTGTATGGGAGGAATAATATTCATAGCTTTATCATCACAGACAATCACAAAATTGATGATTATTTGCTGAACTTCCTATCCTTTTCAAAAGCAGTGGTGTAGGGGGAAAAAAAAAGTAGATCCAAGACCGATGGGCTCTTCCATAGCCAAAAGGCTAAGGGGTTTGTCATGTTTAACTAAGTACAAGTAAAGGCTGATGTCCGAGGTGCAGGAGCTACTTGAAATCGCTTTGTGGGACTGAGTTGACTGAAGTTCTTTGGCCCAAGAACAGGTTGAACTGGCTGGAAATGAGCAGCAGGCTCCTGAGCCCGGGGATGGTTTTGCCACATGTGTTTGTCAGGGAAGCAGAGAGACAGAGCTGCTGGGAAACTTCCAGCTTGATGGTGCTGGGGTTTTTGGTTGTGAAATATGTTCAGGCAGTGCTGCTTCCAAGGAATGATTCATCTGAAAAAGATAAGTGGTTGTAAAGATCACTCCGTGAAAGTCGCAACCTGTCTCTTAAGTAACAGTCACTTCTTAGGAGACTTAAGTTAATATTGCTTGTTATATGCATATTATTAGCTTATTGCAGACATTTTTTTTCAGACGTGAAATTAACGTTTCTTTCTCTTCCACAGTGGGCCACTATACGGATAGAAAAAGGTGTCAAAAAGGCACAGCCGCAGCTGCTCAAAACTCCTGCTGCTAACGGTAAGAATCAAGTCAAGCCATCGTGATATGACCTGCATGCTGAAGCAGGGCAGCCGTTTAAAATGAAGAGGTAGATGTGTGTGAGAGTGAACAGGAGAGGAGAAGGGGCTGGCTGCAACTTACTGTTAGACTGACTTGTTTTGAAATCCTGCTGGCACAAGAAGTGCCAAGAAGGATGAAATGCTACTTGTGTTGGCCTATGCTGAATGCCTGAAAAGTCAGAAGGGTTGAGAAAACAAGGGTATGAAATAACAGTATGTTTAAGTTTAAGCTGGAGACTGTTCTCAATCAAAGGAAGTGTTTGGCCTGCAGTACTTGCTGTTTTCTCCATGCCTGCTTTTAGGTCAGTGCTGACAAGGCTTCTGGTCATCACTGCTGGTGGTATCAGATCTCTAAAGAGGTCTGTGAGCTTAATGGAGAGCATTTTGAAGTCCAAGCCCAGCACTCCTCTTTCACAAGCTCAGGGCTTGGTTTCTCTTTTAGGACTGTGTGTGTTTTGGGTTTTTTTTTTTTTTCCTTCCTTTCAGTCTGCTTCCATTTCCCTTTTGCCTTCTTGAGTTATTTCAGTATTCAGCGACAACCTTGCTCTCTTTCTTTCTACAAAGAGAGCTGAATAATTGCTTCATGTTTCCTCCTTTACCCAAATTTTGAAATTTCTTCTCTTGCTATATCTTATCCCATACAGAATGTCATGGCAGGCTGTACTGGGTAAGAGTTGTCTGCAAGAGAGCTTTTAAGCTGTATGTGCAGCAAAAGTAGCCTGAACTTACACAGGAAACTCAAGGAAGGGGATGGATGAACCTGCCATTGTAGCCAGTACTTGGTCTTCTCCTGCTTCCTGACTGAAATTCATATTTCTATTGATAAATCTGTCCAAAAATCAACCTACTGTCGGCCTCTTTACTGTGTTCCCCTCAGTAGGCAGTGTACCTGAAAACAGGACAACATTCAGAGGAATTGTTTCCTGAACCCACAAAATCTTGCATATAAGTAATGGGAATGAACTCCTGATGTGGTCATGTGTTTTTCATTCCCAAAGAAAGTGTGTGTCCCATTTCCAAAGGAGCTTCCTTGCTGATGCTGCAGATATTCAGGTGTTGCACTATCAACTTGCCAGGTATGAAACCAGCTTGGATGGTGGCAGACCCAGCTGTCAGTTAGCAGTGGTAATAATAAACTGGAGGTTCTGCACAACAGCCCTTAACAAGGCTCGGATATGACTTCTAATTTAATTTGTGACCTTAATTGGGACTTTTAATTTTGTGCTGTAGTTCATAACCTGGATGAATCTGTGTGCAGCCATCCCATTGATTTCTCTTGAGGCATTAGTGATAATGCCTGTGGGTAACTTGTATAGAAAATAGTATGCAGGCCGCCTTTGTTCAAGCAGTGTTTTGCATTTGGTTTGAAAGCAAATAGGAAGCACTTCCTCTCTGAGGATATCTTCTCCTGCAAAAAGTTTGGTGATGCTCCAGAAGCAGCTTGCCACAAAAGAGACAAGGTGGCTCCCTCTTTCATGAGGATGACTGGCACCGAACTCCCTCTCGCTTGAGAAGTATGAGAACAGGGGAGATTTGCAGTTTGCTGTACCAACCTGTACTGCTTATATTGCTCTCTGGAGTTTTTTGAATTGTCTGAATTTTGAATGCTAGTCAGGAGAGGGGAAGAGGATAACAGAAGGATAGAGGAAGCTTGTGATGAACATACTAACTTTACAGGGTCAAAACTCTTCGGCTCCACCCTGGTGCCTTTTGAGGCACAGCTGCTGCTTCTGTGCCTCCCCTGCAATCCAGTAGGCCATTTGCTTCCGAAATCTTGTCCTAGCTTGGAGAACAGCCCCAAATATGGAGGATCACATGTGCAGTCAGAACTGCCAAGCAGTATTAGGTGGCTGTCATGGTCAGTGTAGCAATGAGGTTCTCCATGCCCTGCCAGGACTGAACGGGTGTTGGGTAGATAGCACCAAGCACGGATCTGCCTTCAGTGCTGGTTGTGCCTGTGCTGGGGCCACTGAAACCTTGGGGGAGCAGCAGGGTGAATCCAAGGCGAGTGCTGCTGGATGCCTTTAGTCATGAGTGCCTGCAACTGTCTGCACGCTGAATTTCTAGTGCTGAAGAAGAGCGCGATACTGATGGACCGCATGACTGCTGGGGGACCCCGGAAGGTCTGGGTGTAGTGGTGCAATATTTAAGTTGGCCCCTGAGGTGTCAGAGCATGAGCAAGCGGAAAAGCCCAGTTGCATTAGGCAATCTTTCCTGAGGGAGGAGAAATTCCTGGTGATAAGAGATTGCCGAGTATTGAATAAAATGGGGTAAAGGTAAAAGCAGGCATGTGTATGTGTGCGTGTTAAGGGCTGTCAGACTTGAGACCCTGCACTGCCTCCTCCCTCCTTCCTGTGCCCAATCCTTGCAGGGAGGTGGGGTAGGAAAGGAGGGAGAATCACATGTGTGTGCGAAATGACTGGTTTTCCTGGGTTCAGGGCACTGTTCCCTGGCAGAGCAAAAAGTGCACCTTTTCCAAAGAATTGGAAATCCAGCATCAACCTTCTTCAATGTTGCAACCAAGCGTCAGCATGACAGAGCAGACAACACCTTTCACTGCATTACCAAAGTCCAGTGTTGCTTGTATCTGTCTGCCAAAAGAGTGTCCTAGGCCCCCACATTGACAGTGTGAGACCAAATAGTGGCAAGAAAAAGGTCAGCTGCTGTTCCTGCTAAGTGGGGAATTATCTGGCACTGTCACTTCCTGTGTTGCCCATGTCAGAGGACAGTGTGTCACCCATCAGGCCTGACAGGTGACTCTGCTGGGCAGGGTTTCAGAGGCTGGCTGTGCATCTCTGAGTAACTGTGTAAGTGGTGGTTGTGTCAAAAGGCCATGGTGCTCTTTAGTGTGTGGATATAAAAAGCCACCAAACACTTTTCAGGTACAAATTTTGAAAGTGTCATTCCCCGAAAGAAGGGCACGTGTGACTGTAACTATGTGTGTAAGTATGTGACTGTAACTACATAGTGTGGAGCTTCAGCATGGTATTACTGGTGAAATAGAGTACGAGAGCTTGAGACTTAGAGCTTAAGTGTTTGGGAGTTGTGCCCTGACTGGGTGAATAGCAGGGTGGTTACGTCCATGTTTGGGTCACGAGTGATGCCTGCTGTGCTCCTGCCTAATGCTGCCTTCCAGCTGCTTCTGGCCAACTCAGCCCTGCTCGTGGCCAAGGGCTTAAGTGCCATTAAGTGCTACTCTTGATTAGAAAAGAGCCAAGTATATTGCCTGAGCAGCATGCGTTTAATTCTGTGTATGTTGCTACTGAGCTCTTGGCAGGGCGCTCCTTGTCCCAAAGGCCACGCGGGTGCTGGTGGTGCCGTATGACAGTGACACGACAGGAGAGAAGTTACAGCAAGGGCGTCCTGCCTGTGCCAACTAAGGGCTGAACTTGAACCCTAGGCTCCTCTGCATTGCACCTGCAGCAGTTTGAGCCAAGAAATAAGAGCCAGGAGCCTCTGGGGGTGATATGGTGCAATGCAAATGTTCCCTGGAGTAGCTGTAATCTGGAAGTTGCCACCGTGTATTCCCAGTGTCTTTCTTTTCATGTGCGGGCAAGACTTGCACAGGAAGCAGACTTTAATTCTGTGGGATGTATATTTGTGGGAACGTGCTGTGTGTTTTGAACAATTGTCCTCCTTCTCTGACTTTAATCCTAGAATTGAAACACAGGGATTATGCAAGTGGTCAGAAGGAGTCTGTAAGAGCAGTGACCTGCACTTGGACCTCTGTAATCCTAGTCGAGTGTTGCAGGTGATGGCTGTTCTGGTTCAGTGTCTGTCTCATCTCCTCAGTCATTAGCTTCTGGAGCTACATTTGCTTATGAGGCAGCAGCCACTTGATCTTTATATTTAGTTTGCCGCATTTGCTCTCACCTTTGTGGCCTCTGTGAGAAATCGGTGCTTATTGGCATATCAGACCATATACACACACACATATTATATATATACACACACATAGAAAATCTATAAATTTTATCAAAGGTGCTTATTGTTTCTACTGCAATTCTGTACTCTGCAGTTTCCCCTTCTTTCATTAGCCATTATATGGGCAGAGTTGAACTGAAACATGAGTGTTGGTGGCAAACTACACTGTTATTACATTAAGGCACCTGTAAGCACAACTTCATCTGATGTTCTTTCTCTTGAAGGGTTTTTCCTTCTTTAATGGGTACTATAATAGAAACAAACAAACAGTGTGATCCTGTTTGTGCTCATAGAAGAGGCTTCTACTGTGAAGTAAGGTAAGTGCTTTTGTTCCAAAGCTTCTCTTTGCTTAGGTGTCAGTTTTCACTGGTCTTCTGTGTCAGCACGAGTTGGTCTTGGATAGAGTTTCTAGGTTTATACTGTGTCAGATGGTGGGAAGAGGTTGTCTTTCTTGCTTCACCCCCAGTAGATTTGGATATGTTTGCTCTTCAAGGGTTTATTTGAGGACCAGCCTGCTGAAGTGTATGCAGTGCTCAAATACTACTCTGATTTTCTTTCATAGGTGCAGAGCTCTGATAATAAAGCTGTCTCCTGGAATGCTGCAGAGCAGCAAGTACTTTGGAGGATGGCTGTTATTGTCTGGAATGATTTTCTCATACGACTATTCTTTCTTTCTTTCTTTCCCAAGTTATCATAGAAAGAGATGAAACCACTATGGAGAAAGAAATTGCAGGTCTGCATCGAGTGGATTTCGAGTTCTCCGACATATTCTATTTCTGCAGAAAAGGATTTGAGGCCATTGTAGAAGATGAAGTCACCCAAAGGTTTTCTTCTGAAGAGCTGGTCTCCTGGAATCTCCTCACAAGGACTAACGTCAACTTCCACTACGTCAGCCTGCGGCTGACACTTGTATGGGTCGTTGGGGTTGTGGTACGGTACTGCTTCCTGCTGCCCCTGCGGTGAGTGCGGGAGGAATGGTTAACCTGGGAATGTGTCAATGGAGATCACTGTAGAAAACATCATCTGAAGTTCTCCAGCAGAAGGCAACGTTAGCAGAGGCTGTCTGCGGATACAGGCTTAGACTCTTCTTTGGCTAAACAGCTATTCGCAACATTTATCTTCCCATTCCCCATGAAGAATAGCTTAGGGCAAGTGATGGTCTTTTCTGTGACTATTTTGCCTAAATTGGATGAACTGGCAATCTAAGAGTAAATTGAGCAATGTTGAGTTAAACTCTGACCTTATAAGTGTTGGTGTGTCTGATGTCATTGCCTTTGTACCATGTTTTTGAGCAATATGTGCCTGGGAGTCATTAACAGTAGAGTCATAGGAAAATGGGTATTTGGGGATTCTGAGAAATAGCTGACCTTCTGCAATTCATTTTCATTTTAAAGGGAAAGGTGATATTCAAAGGCACAAAACAAATTATCCTGCTTGAATGTCTGTCTCCTTACAGCTTTACCCTGGCTGCTATTGGGATTACCTCAATGATTGTGGGGACAACAGTGGTAGGGCAGCTGCCAAACAGCAGGTAAGTAGGCATGTGTTGTGAATGTGAGACACACACTATGCAAGCTGGTAGCACTCCTGTCCAGGGAAGTCCAGGTGAAGACTGGGACAGATGCTGACACCGTTCATAGTATGCTACACCCACAAACTGGTGTCCCTGTTTGTGGCACCATTTTATATTCAGCCTGGGGACGGCTTTTGGCCAAGCTTGGCACTGAGGATGGTCGTTTCTGATGGGACCCTTTTAGGAGAGAGGCCTAAGTTGTTAGTATTGAAAAATGTCAGGAAGATCTTGGGGACCAAAATACCTCATTGGCTCAGGACTGCCAAGCTGAAGAACTGAGGTGCGAACAGCCCCTCAGGTAGAATGCTGGTCATGTCCATTCCTTAAAGAAAGGAGCCTTGCCTTAAAGAAAGGAGAAAGATGCGTACTGCAGTGTCCTTGTTACAGGTAGTGAGAAAGAGAGAAGAAAATGAGAATTAATAAACAAAAAACTTCTCTGCTTTTAATCCACGTGGTAAATAAGTAGTGCAGTGTCCTACAGAGTTAACTAAGGCAGATTTCTTTAAAAGGACTAATGGGGAGAATAAACAGAGGAAACAATCTGATTTCAGCACTGTGCATTAGTGATAGGACAGAGAAGCAGTGTCCAGCTGGGTACAGCCCAGTAACATGCAGAAGTGCATAGGAAAGGGCAGACATAGTTCTGTGTTGGGACAATGCCAGAAATGGAGTAAACAGGGGGTGAAGGTCATACTGAATTGTTCAGGTCTCCCTCCCTCTGTCTCCACCTGTCCAGGTTGTAATTCAGAAGACATGTTGACATCCTTGTTGTGGGGTCAGTTCTGGGGTTTAACCAAGGTCATTCCTTGGTTAAACACTTAACACTTTCGAGGTACCAGTCCTGGTGACTCTGGTGCTAGGATACAAAATACCAGCAAAGAAATTTCTGCCTTGCCTGCTATCTGAGTAAATAAGATTGGGGGATAATGTGTCTGGGCTGAGTTACTATACTGAGTGAGTGATTCAGCTGGGACTGCTTTTAAGAAAAACCCCTCTTATCCCCAGCTCTGAGTACACTGGAGGATATTGTCTAGCTGCATTGCAGGATGCTGCATGCTACTGTGTTCTCTCTTTCAGTGTGAAAAGCTACCTAAGTGAGCTTGTCCACCTCACGTGCTCCCGGATCCTCGTTAGAGCGCTCTCTGGTACCATCCATTACCATAACAAGTGAGTGAGCCAAATGCTGGGGTTGTCTAGGCCTTTGTGTGCAGCTCTGTGTGCATCCTTGTTGAAATGGGGCTGCTCGTTCATGGCCCCCAGGCTGACGCTGCGCTAGATGCCGACTCACCTGGGAGTTTTAAAGAAATCTGTGTGTAATGAGGTGCACCCTGCAGTGTTAGTCTAACAACAAGTTTTGTATTTGCAGGGAAAACAAACCGCAGAAAGGCGGTATTTGCGTGGCCAACCACACATCACCGATAGACACGATCATTTTGACAAACGACGGCTGCTATGCGATGGTACGCGGGGCCTGCGCTGGCATGGAGGAGAGGGACAGCATGGCAAAGGGGAAGGCTGGGGGATGTTGGTTGTGGGGATTAGTGTTTAATTTTCACATTTAAGAGTGATGTTCAGTGTTAGCTGGTGGGAAAAGCGCGATTGTGCTGAAGTTGGGCTACATGGAAGTTTTGTTCTGGTGAAGTTGCCCTGCAATGTCAGTGCCAGGAGGCTCTTCTGATATTATACTAGAGATACAGTTTTACATATGATTCCAGGCCTTCTTTAAGTGATTGCATTTCACAATTTTTTATTGGCTTTTCCCAATCCTGATTTGCAGTCTCCAGGAGGCTATGTTTTTTTTCTTCTTCTTCTTCTTTTAGTTGTAGAGATACAGAGAGGAATCTGCCCTTTCCAGGAGGTTTCTTTATGCTAACATGTCTCATTGGTCTTGCAGGTTGGCCAGGTTCATGGTGGGCTCATGGGAGTTATTCAGAGAGCAACGGTAAAGGCTTGTCCTCACGTCTGGTTTGAACGCTCGGAAGTTAAAGACCGCCACCTAGTGACAAAAAGGTGAGATGTGACTCAAAAATCAAGGACCCAGATTAGGAATTGCAAATCTGGTAAAACAAAAGCCCAAGGAGGTGACTGTGAGAAGTGACACATGGAACTGCATTGTCCCGTGAAGACGCAGTGTCTTGCAAAAGCTGCTTCTGTGGGCAGGGCCCGTATCTAGTTGTCTAATTCCAAATGGTGGTGGCTGCTGCTTATAAGCCCTGATGACAGGGACACCAGTCATCTGGAATTCTGTGTTACTGATGGAACTTTCCAAGCAGGAGGAGCAGGTAGGAGTGGAAACCTTCATTACAGCAGTGGCTGTATGCCAGCAGTTGGAGCTGCTGAGTTGCAGCTGACTGGCTCATTCAGAATGGCTGGAGCGTGCTTGCTTGGGGACAGTAGACTGTTGCCAAATGTCAGGCCCCCAAATTGCTGAGGAACACTTGAATACTTGACAAGCTTCGCAAGGGGGAAGTGTTTCAGACCAAAGGTTTTGAGAAAGATTGGGTTGTAGCTGAGTATAACAAAAGACCTTATTTGGGTAGCCACCACTTTTTTTCTTAAAACCCATCTGCCTGGAGAGTAAAAGTAGAAAGAAACTGTTTGTTAAACCTTCTTTCTGCTTCCACAGACTGAGAGAACATGTGGCAGATAAGAGCAAACTTCCAATTTTAATTTTTCCAGAAGGTAAGAAACAGAATGGCTCTTTACCTCTATTCAACATAATCTTACCTCTCATTCTCTTATCATGACTTCTGGTGCTCTGTGGGAGCTAACCTGTGGTTTAGACTGTATTAAAATGGATATTGGATATTATTTTTTCCTTTTTTATAAGACTTCATAATGACAATAGTGTACAGACTCTGGCTACTGGATCTTCTGACAGAAGCTGGATGCAGAAGAATGGGAACATTATTTGTCCTGCTCTGTCAATCTGTTCTTGTGTTTTCTCTCTTGCACGTGGTCTTGCCTTAGTCAGGGAGTCTGTCACAGGACCGAATGAAGGACAGGTGGAGGGAGATGCTTAACTTTAAGGGGCCTGCACTTGTTCCTCAGTGTGCAAAGCCTGTGTGTTGCTGCAGTCTTGTGACAATGACTTTCTCTTCTGGACAGGCACCTGCATCAATAATACATCTGTGATGATGTTCAAGAAGGGGAGCTTTGAAATAGGAGGGACAATCTATCCTGTTGCAATCAAGGTAAAGGGAAATAAGTGCTTGCTTAACTCTTATATGTTTAGGGATCGGTTTCTCTCAGGATTTAGGAAGTTGTCTCTGCCCAGCTGCTGCTAAAAGCTGGAGCTTGATGGAGCCAGGGGGCTGAGGCAAAGAGGTAGAGGAAGTGAAAGAAGGGGAGAGGAAAAGAGGGCAGAAGGAAAGGGTCAAGGTGGAGGGAGAGCAGGGATAGGGTAGTGGGGAGGGAAAGGCAGAGGAGCGGGAGAGATCCTTCAGTTTGTGGAGCTCTCTGCGTAGGACTTAGGGGGGCTGATGTCCTGTAGAAAATTGGAAGAAAGGAAGGCTGCAGAGGGAGGCCCGGATGGTCCTTCCTGGTGCTGAAAGGAAGAGAAGCCTGGAGGTCACAGGGGAAGTGGTTCTTGTGGCAGTTCCAGCAAACAGGTGACTGCCCCTGTCACATAGCACAAGATGCATAAATGAACACGGATTAACTTTATAAAGCCTCCTGCTAGGTAAACACATTAGGTGTGAATATTCTCTCTGCCTTGTGACTGCCAGTTTCCCCCCGAAATCCCCACAAGGCTGTGGCCTTCTGTGAGGAACTGGTTTTACAGTTTGCATTTTGTGATCCTTTACAGTATGATCCTCAGTTTGGAGATGCGTTCTGGAACAGCAGCAAATACAACATAGTGAGCTATCTGCTGCGAATAATGACCAGCTGGGCCATTGTGTGTAATGTGTGGTACATGCCACCGATGGTTAGAAAGGTAACTTGTCCTGTGGTTGACTGTCTGAGTGTAGTTTAAGGTCCACACTGTCTGCAAGCTTCCCCCCAACCCCTTCCTCCTTTCCATTGACTTCTGCCCCTGTCCCTGCTCCCCTTCAGATCAAAAGGTTTTTATCCTGGGCTCTGTTAGTGTTTTTTCCCTGTAACCGTACTTTGCTTTTCCTGATCTGTTTTCCCAAAGGACTGGCTAATGCCAGCTAGTGTTAAGAGTATATTCTTAGTTTGCAAAATTGTCCATGAACAAATTGTACTGGAGCAAAATTTTGCCATAACTTTAACATTTTTGGGAAAAACTGAGAGCTAAATGAGTAACGCATAGGAAGCTCAGATAATCTTGGCCTGGGAAGGGAGGCGGGATCTTTTGTTGCCAAACTAATCTGATGAAGCAGCAGATGGAGAGAGAAGAGAAAAAAAAAAAAGTGATTTGATTCTTTATTTGTTGCCAAACTAATCTGATGAAGCAACAGATGGAGAGAGAAGGAAAAAAAAAAGTGATTTGATTCTTTCTGATCTCATTATGTTGAACTTGAAACC